TGGGGTGGGTCCGAAAAGGTGAAGTGTTCTTTGCTGCGTGGCAAGTCACACGGTGAAGACGAAATGTCAAAACCTTTTATGAGTGAATGGGTAGTTGACGCCATTTTTGGGTCTAACATTAATTTTTTCAATAAAAAATTATTATGGGAATTTAATTTAATTCTAAATTTAAATTTTGGGTTCCTAAGTGATTTCCTAAAATTTGTAATTATGGAATTTTAATTTAATTCTAAATTTAAATTTAATTTAAATATAAATTTATTTTTGATTTCCTAAAGTGGTTTCCTAAAAAATGATTAAACTATTCAAATAGTTTAATATAAGTATTCCATTTGTTTAGGAACTGTTTCACCTCTAATACCAACGGATCTTTTCTTTTCAAATTGTTTGAATATGTGTTCAAAGCAACGGTTAGGATTGTTTGAAATTTTTGGTCTTAGCAACGGTCAAAGCAACTTTGAATAATTGGTTTTTCTGTTCAACTCTTTGGTGCACCTTTTCACTTCAAACTTTGGAACTTGTTCGGGTCTTATGTTTGCCTATAAATATAATCTTTTTCCAGCAGTCCGGAGATCCGGGAAAAAAAAGGAGTCTGATTTTTGTGTCTTTGCTGTCCATTTTGTTCTAGTGCATTTATTCTTCATATATTAGTTTTAGATTAAATTTAAGAGAGTATAAAACATGAAGTTTGGTTCGCCGTACGATTTTGTTTGGTGTGCTACAACAATTTTGTGAAGATCATTGTATCTTGTGAGATAGACGCCATTCAACCGTAAGCACCGTAGCGGGGCGAATCTGTCTTAAGGACATAGTGTCACACACTCGACTTGGTCTTTGAATCTTTAATTCGGTTCAATAAATAAATTCGGTACGTTATTTATTTATTTGTTTGAGTTTGTTTCGATTTATTTTATTTACATAGAAGATTGTTCCAACAGGACCTTGGTACTCTTAACTACTTCTTAGGCCTTAAAGTCTCCCATGATTCTACTGGTTCCTATTTGTCATAGGCCAAATATGCATCCGATATTCTGGCCCGTGCTGGTCTTACCAATTGCAAAACTACCTCTACTCCAGTTGATCCTCAGATTCGTCTCACTCCTCTCGATGAGGATCTCCTCTCAGATGCTACTTTTTATTGCCAGCTAGTCGGTAGTCTTGCATATCTCATTGTGACTCATCCTGACATTGCCTATGCTGTTCACATTGTTAGTCAGTACATGTTGGCTCATCGCACTCCCCATTATACTTCTCTACTCCGCATCCTTCGCTACCTCAAAGGCACTTTGTTTCATGGCCTTCACTACTATACTTTCTCCTCTCTTGAACTGTGTACTTTTTCTAATGCTGATTGGGTTGGAAATCCTACGGATCGACGCTCCACCACGGGTTTCTGTTTCTTCTTAGGGGATTCTCTTCTTATTTGGTGTAGCAAGAAACAATCCCTCACTACCCGCTCTAGTACTGAAACTGAATACAGAGCTCTTGTTGATACTACTCAGGAACTTCTCTAGCTTCGCTGGCTCCTTGCTGATATGGGTGTTTCTTCTTCTGGCGCTACCTCTCTCTATTGTGACAATTAGAGTGTCATTCAGATTGCTCACAATGATGTTTTTCATGATCGCATTAAGCATATTGAGATTGATTGTCACTTCATTCGCCAGCATGTTACCCGTGGCACTGTTCTTCTTCTCCCTATTGCTTCTGTTGATCAACCTGCTGATATTTTCACAAAAGCTCATTCTCTTGGTCGCTTCACTGATCTTGTTTCCAAACTCAAGCTGGTTTATGCTTACCTTCTTTGAATTTGCGGGGGGCTGTTAGTGTAATATTAGTGTACTATAGTATTGTTAGTATAATATAATATTAGTGTGCAATATCTAGCTGTCCCACTAATGATGTTGTCTCTTTCTGCTTTCGATGTGTTAGCATTAGCATCCTATGTACTATCTTTCCTCTCTATAAATGAGAGTAATCTGCTCCTTGTAAAACATTGAATATAAAACAATTTATACAATTTATTCAGTCTCTTTCTGTCTCTCTCTCTCTACCAAGATTACAAGCTTCTCTAATTTGTACATACATAGATTATGAGTTCTGAACATTGGCTAAATTTTGGCTCTCATATTTTTGTTGATCAATGTGAGCTTCCTTCCTCAAAAAAACACAAAAAAAAAAAAAAAAAAACCCAAAAAAAAAAAAAAAATAATAAAAATGTGAGCTTCCTACAAGTTTTGATTTGATTATTTTTTTTCTATTGGTTTAACATCATGTGGACGATGTTTTGAAGAAGATGTAGATTAAATATGTGAAACAATTTAGCAAAGTGTTTTCAAGTGTATAGAAGTGGGCTGTTGAATACTGTAGGATCAAACGGTCTCCCGCTGTACCAAAAGCTATAACTAATAGTAAGGGTGTAATTTTATTTTCTCAAAAAGTACAACACCAGCACCACAACCGATTGACCCAAACCTGAGCCTCCGCCACAGCAAAATGTTGGCCTAAACCCAGACCTATAAATACTAATGCCGCAACAATGTTGCTTAACTTGGTATAACAAAGCAAAACAATAAGAATGGATATTACCATGGACTTGTTTGAGACACCATATTTTGTCTTCACAAAAAGTATAATATTAACAACAAAGTTCATTGTTGCCATAATATATTTAGGACTGTTCAAAATACTGTACAATCTGTTAAAACTGTATCGATTCGTATCAATTTATGCCGATCTAACCGTTAACCGCAGTTTAAACTTTAAAATTTATAATTTGCCAACCGAACCGCTCCGCCATAGTTAATACATATATCTTTTTTAACTTCTAATGAAATATCAATATAAAAATGAGTGTGAGAGATATTTAAGATATGAAATTTATTACAAATTAGTGGTTATATATATGAAACATATTATATAAAATTACTTTTTGTTATATAACTAAAAAATATTATACAAATTAGTGTTATATATTATGTAAATGTATAATAATTAGTTAGAATATTCTTCAATCCTCTAATCCGCTAAAAATTGTCCAAACCGCAATTTGTCCATCCGTTAATCCACTAATTTACCATTCGATTTATAATTTTACTCTCAAAATGCCCGAATCGTACCGCGCACACTCCTAAACATAGTTGAGTTAGATTAAATGTCATTGCTAATAAAAGTATATTTTATGGTAGCTAATCTTGTGCGATGCACATGATAATATAATTTTTTCAAAATAATATTTCATAAATTTTAGAGTAAATTACAAATATACTCACGAGGTTTGCTTGAAATACAGATTAGTCCCCGTGATTTGAAAAATTACAAATATCCCTTTATTAGAATTTTTTATTTAACAAAATTAACTGAAAAAATAAAATTCATAATTATTCTTCTATACAATAACAAAATTACCTAAATTATTAATTGAAACATATTTTTAACATCATTAAAAATTGTTAATTGACTTAATGATTTATTAATGAAAGGGATAATTTGTTATGAAATTAGAAATTTCAGGGGGTGAAATGTAATTTTCAAAATCACAGGAGGCGATTTATATTTTAATAAAACCTCAGGAAGTGTATTTGTAATTTATCCTAAATTTTAGTTAAATTATTTATATGTATGCCAATGTAAAGTATGAAATGCAGAAAAAGTATGTTAAATTATTTTAGTTAAAATTACATTAAAAAGTATGTTGCAATGTGTGAAATGCAGAAAAATAATCTTAATCATATAATATTACAAAAGTGTCAGTTAAATAAACGTGATGATTAGTTAAATCTATTTATATATATCTTGAGATGGTAATTTTTGGTGAAAATTGAGCCGAGCTGTGAGATGGACTTTATGGCCCAAAGTACGAAGAACTGTGTAAAAAGGCCGTAATGTTACTCCGGCCCAAGAGAGGTATAGTTACTCCGGCCCAAAAGAAATGTTAAGTTACTTCGGTCCGGGCAACTTGGAGTTAGGCCGGTCTCAGAGTTAGTTCGGTCATGACGTATTCTGGATAGATCGGTCAAAACCTTGCTGCTCGGTAGCTCGGTCTAAACCATGCCATGGTTCGTGCATGAGAGAACCGAGATAAGGTGTAACCAGAGGAAGAACCGAACTATTGTTAGTACGGCTTATTATGTGGCTCAGCATGGTAGTGGGTATTTCGGTCGTGTTGTAGTTCGGCCATGATTATAACCATCTCACTTGGTTTGAGCAGTGAGGGGGTGTTGAAGGATAAGCATTATCTTTCAAGAGTATGAATCCTAGGAGGACTCTGCATGGAGGAATAAAAGTCCTACTAGGATTGTGCCACATGGAACTTATAAAAGCTCACAAACATCACTTTGGGAGAGGTAACACACAACTTTGCTTTCTGAGTACATAGAGCTTTGTCTATTTGTCAAGTTTGCTGACTTAGGCATCGGAGAGGTTTCCGGTACACACCCGCCGGCTAGCTCACGTTTATATTTTCAGGTGATAAAGCGACGTCGTACGGAGGGGCGCGGACTTGGTCAACAGGATTATACGAGAAGGTATATTTCTTTTCCGTACATATCTTTATTATGTACATACATATAAAGTTATTTTTAAAAATATATTGCAACATATGTTATACAGAAGTATAATTTTAGTTTGATAAATTCTATTACTGCTTCATATGGTTTTTATTTTTTTACAAACATAATTTTTTTAAATTAAAAAAAAAAAAAAAACTTGAAACGCTTTATTGGGCTTCGTTTTTCAAAATTTGTTTTCTAATTTTTTTTTTCTTTAAAAAAAGGAAGAAGATAATTTAGGCAGGAATATGGTGTTTTCAATGGATTTATGCCATTTATGCAACTCAATTACAACCAATCTAATTTTCTTCTTATTCAAAAAATGTGAAGTGACAAATTTTATTTATTTTCTAATTTTTAGAGCTAAGTATGGTCTGGGCCTAAACCCAAGCTCAGGGTGAGAGTTTGGGCCTAAACCCTAATATCTAATTTTTCTCTCTCCATTTCAGATCCTTCTCTTCTCTTCGCTTCTCTTTTCTCTTCGCTCTCTCTGTTATCTCTGCTCTCTCTCTCTCTCTCTCTCTCTCTCTAAACCACACACAAACCCTAAGACGAAGCAAGCACGAAGCTTGCGATTACTGACTGAAATCCATCAAGCATCTTCAAGTCCAGGTATTTATTTATCTGAAATCGTCTTTATGATGGAACATTTGATTCAAATTGCTTGAAATTTGTTTGATAATGCTTGAAATCTGTTTGAAATTGCTTGATTATTGTTGTTGTTAGTCTGCTTGTTTTTTTGATGAATTGTTAAGAAATATTATTTTCCAAAATTTGGCTATGGCAGCTCCTTTGGCTGCCACTGTGGATGCTCTTAAGTTAAAATACAGTTCTTGTTAGATTCTTGTATGGTTTGTGCATTCCATGACTTTGCCTAGTTTTTAAGTATCTCATCCTTATTTTCCTTTTGGTTTACTATTTGATTCTTCATGCTTGATATATGCTTTTGGGCCTAGTTACCCATTTTTGTTTATCTTTTCTTCTGTTAAACTGGATAGTGTTGGCTAAAGATGCTCACTGGTGTCCTCTAAGGCTACGAACACGATATATATCAAATTTTAAAATTAGATTACTTAAATTGGAAGAGTTTTGATTACTTAACTCTGTATTTGTTTTCTTCTTCTTAAAATTGTTAATGAAGAAAGCATGAGATGGTTAGGTTCATTTTGTATATATTGAAGGAATAGCCAATACATGTATTTCCTTTTTCCAGCTGTAGTGTAATGGTGCAATGTATTTTTGGTTTTTGATAGATATATTTAATGGGGATATTCAAAAAAGCACCAATTTTGTTAAAGAAGGATGCTATGAATGATGATGATGAGGTGGAGAATCTTGAAGTGGAGGGTTTAAATTCCGAATCGGAATCGGAGTCAGAAGATGAAGATGAAGATGGAGATGTGAAGTTGACAGAAGCTTCAAAGAACTCCGTATACAACAGGGATGGATTGCTTGATAAACTTGGAGACATTAGCTGGCCCGAGAATGTGGAATGGATACACAAGCTTTCCCTTGATATCGATCAGGAGCAAGAGGTGGATGTGAATGATGACCTGGCACGGGAGCTTGCTTTCTACACACAGGCATTGGAAGGTACAAGGCAGGCTTTTGTGAAGTTTGAGTCTATGCGGCTTCCTTTTCTCAGGCCTTCTGACTATTATGCTGAGATGGTGAAAACTGATACTCACATGGAAAAAGTCAAGGGCCGGCTTTTGGTGGAGAAGAGAAAGATCGAGGAGTCTGAAGAGAGGAGGAAGGCCAGGGAGTCCAAGAAAATAGCTAAAGAGGTTCAGGCTCAGAAGCTCAAAGAGAGGGCTAAGCAGAAAAAGGAGGAGATAGAATCTGTTAAGAAATGGAGGAAGCAGAGGCAGCAGAGTGGGTTTGCCGGGCCTGGGGGTGACAAAGACGGTGAGATAGGCTTTGCTTTTGAAGACGGAAAATCATTTGAAAGGTCAAATAAGAAGAGGCCAGGGGTGGCCCCTGGAGATCGCTCTGGAGGGAAGGCAAACCAAGGTGGTGGTTGGAAGGGGAAGAAAGGAGGAGCCGGTGGAAAAAGGAAGAGTAGGGACTTCAAGGATTCCAAGTTTGGGTTTGGAGGAAGAAAAAGCTTGAAGAAGCAGAATACTGCTGAGACTACAAATGATGTCAGAAGCTTCAGAAAAAACAACAATTTCTCTGGAAATAAGAGAAGGAAGACGTGATGCATTCTCTCAGTTTGTTCCGTGATGTTGAGAAGTACGGTTCAAGTTAGCTATATGTAAGTTTGAAATTCTTAAGATATTTCTTTCTAATGCATTCAGTGTTTTTATTGGATTTCTATAAATGTTATTTTTTTCCCCTATCTGAGTCACATATGAAGTAGTCACAAACCTTGCTATCTTTAGGTACTCTCGTTTATGACCAATTATTGATTAGTTGATATTTTCTCTTGGCTTTAAAATTACCATGGGATTTGTTTGGTTGCTACTGTAATTGTTGTCATTGTCATTTTTATTCATATTCTTGCTTCATATATTGCTATTTTTTGATATGCAATATCCATTGATACTATACCTTTATATTTCACTGAATTTTGTTCATTTGTTTGGCATTTTGGTGGTGATGGCAGGTTTTGTTTCAATTTTTGCTATTTGTTTTGTTGTCGTCCCATTATTATACTATTCTACTTGCGAGCTGTGTAATATTAAGAAATGTGAAAAACTGATCACACCTTAGCAGTGAAGCTGAGCCCCAGTGTTTGGGGCACTTGAAGCCTGCACATCGAGTCTGGGGTCGAACCCTGGCACCAATTAGTAGATATATATATATATATATACTAATTGATATGGGAATATTACAATTCAGGAGCTGTTTTGAAAAATTATTACATATTAGTGATCAAGTTTATGATTTTAATTACTAATATTTATATAGTTTATCATTTTTTTGTAATTTTTTTTTGACATCTACTGAAATGTGATTCTCCCAATTGATATTCCTATAGTGTACTTCAAAAATAACTGAACATTTTTCTCCCTCCCCAATTTTAACCAACAATTTTTGATAAAACAATCTATCCTTTATTATGGTCAACTCTGCCAAACTAAAAAAACTTGTGTGGTTGTGATTATCCATATAAAGAAATAATAAAAATACCTGTGGCAAAGTTTATGTTCTTTTTTCTTCTCTTTATCCAGATTTCTGTAAATTTAAGGATAAATTACACAAATAGTCTCTATACTTTCACGGGTGTTTCAATTTGATCCTTGAAATTTCAAACTAGGCACATTAACTCTCCACATTATGGAGTTGTCTTACAAAAGACCAGTTGGTAATGGGAATTACCTTTTATATCAAAAAATAGTCACATGCCATGTACACATACATGATTCAAGGGCAAAGTGGTCAATTTACACCTCTCTGTTCTTGTAAAAATGAGCCAAAATCATACCGGTGGTCGATCGGATGGTCCGACTACCCAGTCATTTGGCTGGTCGACCGGCCAAGCCGGTTGCCCTCCTGCTTTGGGCAGTTGTCCGGTCTTGTAGTGATTGTTTGTTTCTTTGCCTGTTTCTTGAATTATTAAGACAACAAATACATCAAATACGCTCAAGATATATGAAAGAAGATTAATGTAAAATAATTAAGTTAAATATAAATTTTAAATCATTTTAACACTTGAAGATAAATCAAAACATAAAAATTAAAATCTTCAAAATATAAGGTAACCTTTTTTTGAGATGGTTCGTAATTTTATTAATGGTTTGATTTGGATATGTATCTCTATTCACCACGACAACACAAGCAACAAAACCATTAACAAAAACCTGGGTTAATTCATATAGGCACACAAACAACAAAATCATTAACAAAAGCATCCATTCCATTCCATTCCATTCACAAAAACCACATCCATTCCATTCACAAAAACATATATTCCATTCCAAGCACCATCCATTCACAAAAACATCTATTCAATTCCAATCACCATCCATTACTAGCACACAAAATATAATTGTATTGATCTGAATAGGGAGACCAGATCACCAAAAGCATTCCACTTTCAATACATACATATATATATATATATATATACACTACATCTGGCCATGAACAATAAACAAACAAAAAGGAATCAAACAATTACAAAAAAAAAAAAAAATCTATCAACACCCTTGTGCAATGCATCAAAGAAAGCAACCAATTTTCAGACAAAAAAATAGGCAAAAGACTCACCGTAATCAGGTACTTCATCTTCATTGTCGCCCACTGTCATGTTGAAGGATCTTGTTCGATTGAGTCAACGCCCAACTTTTGATATTCAATTCGTCGTAAGGGACAATTGTTAGAACCCTAATTGCATTTTGTTGAGTTAGGGCTGGTGTAAGTGTTGGGAAAGGTGTAAATTGACCACTTTGCCCTTAAATCATGTACGTGTGCGTGGCACATGACTATTTTTGGATGGAAAAGGTAACTTTCGTTACCAATTGGCCTTTTGTGAGACAACTCCGTAACTTGGAGAGTTAATGTGCCTAATTTGAAAGTTTAAGGACCAACATGCATGAAAGTACATGGGTCATTTGTGTAATTTATCCTAAATTTAATTCTGGTTTTTCAAGTCTGGATCTAAATTCGGCCAACTAGTTGCTGATATACTTCACAATATACATTTGTAACAATCCTTTCAACTTAAGCAACTCTTTTGTGCTTAGAATTCTTGGCTCATCCTTCCATAGGTAGGAGAGTGGAATGCCAGATCACAAGCTGAGTTGTTAAGCATTTTTACTGTAGTATAATCATGCCACTACCAGCCAACATTACTGTAAACATATAATTCTCAAGTTTACAATGTCAAATCCTTCCAAGTTTGTGGATCTTCCTTACTCATCAAGTAAGTTTTTGTTTTTGATGATAAGTAAATCTTGTAATGATAATAAATTAAAAGCTAATTCTGATTATCTATCTTGGGCACACTGAACATTAAGCCCATCGAGACTGGAATAAAGATTCCCATTTCAAGCTTTATTAAAATATTAAAAAAAAAATCACTAAAAATAAATAACAACTCATCTAGAAACAGTTTTTGAAAAATCAAACACAACAATATAGTTTAGATGGTGTTTTTAGGTAGGATTTTACAATTACTCTTTAGTAGTTTTTTTTTGGAATCTAAAGAAGATGATACATTTCATAATTATTTAAAAAGTTTTTTTTTTTTTTTGAATCTTTTCAAACTTGCATTTTGGTGAGAAATTGTTTTATTAACCTTAGAGTATTATGGAGCCTTTATAGAGCTACGGTGGGGTAAAGATATATATTTTTTTTCATAAATTTGCTAAAAAAAATGCTCCTTTTTATTTTTATTTTTATTTTTTTACAATGAAGAAGTCATTCCAAATAGACTTATTTGTTTTTAACTTTTTGAGAAGAAATTTTTTTGTTTAGTTCCTCCCAAACATGACCTTGGCGTCTCTACTATTGAAAAATAGAAAAGAGACACCATTGTTGAAAAATAGAAAAGAAGTGAGCAGTTGCCATGTGAGATTCTTTGGTAGCTACAAAGACCATGATTTAAATAATGAAGAGAACGTCCTAAATTTTGGGATGTAAGCGCCCCAAATTCGTTCACACATTAATGATTAAAAAAAATAAAACCATAAAATATGTCAACCCTCAATAGCTTTCACACCACTCCTCATTATGTATAGTATAAACCCTTGAATCCTGCCCTACAAAAAGCTTTCACAACACTCTTTTTAAAAAAAAAAGAAAAAAAGACTATATAAAGGCTCAACACCTCCCACTCTGCAGAAACATCAACTTTCTCTCTTACTAGCCTTTGTTCTTGTTCTTCAAATTTCTCTTATGTTCTTTCTATATCACAAACCATGTTAGATTCCACAATTGAGTTGATCACTCTGGCCGCTTCTAATTCTATAGTTGTCTTCTGCTTCTGCAACTTGATCATCGGCATTTTACTCGTTGGTGGCACAAAACCCGCTTCAGAGTTTGTTCAAGACAGTCCCATTCCTCCACCAATAGTTGATCATAGAAACAAAAATGGCGACATAGAAGAAACAATTACTACATGTTCATTGAACAATGATGCCGATGCATCGACAGTCGTTAGTGAGTCGTGTGCTGAAAAAGCAATGGTTGATGAAGAAAAAGGAAAAGAAAATGAAGAAGATGATGAGCTAAGGAAAAGAGTAGAAGAATTCATTGATAAGATCAATAGAGGCTGGAAGGCAGAGAAGTTGAGGACATCTTTATTAGTCTAAATAAAGACAGTTTAACATAACATGTAAATTGAGGTTTCACTTCTTGTTATTGTAACAATTATGTGGGGTTCTATGCAAAGAAATTTGGATTCAGTAGAGAATTGGAGGTCCAGATAAGGAATCATTTTCTTCATTCTCCTTTGAACTTCTTGTCCTCCATTTTTTGTTTTTGTTTTTGTTTTTGGGAAGGGTGAGGGTATTTTTACCTTTAGTATATGGAATAATTCAATTCAGATATTGAATGAAGGGCATATTTGTTAGCAGAATAGTTTTTTTTTTTGGTGACTACTTTATTTGTAGGCATGTTATATAATATATCGAACTCTATGCCTCTCTTGTTGGGCTCCCCAGTTGACATATTTCAGGATGAACCATCATCGGTTTTTCTTGGCAGTTGGCAATGGCAGAGAATATGCAATCTCTTCACAAATCTGAGACATTATTTGAACTCGGAAACTGACCAGCTGGTGTTTGGTCAGATCAGAAATTATGGGTTGTTGGTGAGGAATCAATTCAGAAAAGTATGCACAACCTTTGTTGTTGTTTGTGGGTAGATTAGGTGATCAATGATTGTGTTAGCGACTACTTTAACTAAAAGAAACAATCTTCCATTTAGAATTGTCACTTTGATGACAATTTTGCTTTCTGGTTGTCCATAGAACAAATCAAAAGGGTTTTGAAACTTTGGTACTGGTGGAGAGCTTGCAAATAGTTGCTTTGGGAATTTTAAAATCAGCCAGAAATTGACTGGGACAAGTGGCGAGAAGTATGTGGCCCGACAGAGATGTGGCAGTTAGAAAAGGTAACAGTAAGGATCAAGGTGAAATCGTAACCATGGAAGGCATTAACAGTCAAAGATAGCAATTAGAAACATCATGGACAAAGGATTATAAATATTAGAGGCATATGCACAAAAGGACCTTTAGTTTAAAGCAATGGTTGATGAAGAAAAACAAAAAGAAAATGAAGAGGATGATGAGCTGAGGAGAAGAGTAGAAGAAATCATGGATAAGATCAACAGAGGCTGGAAAGCAGAGAAGTTGAGGACATCTCTATTAGTCTAATAAAGACACAGTAATTTTAAAATACCATGTGAATTGAGGTTTCACTTCTTGTTTGGATATGTTTTTGTAACAGTTATATGTAGTTTTATGCAAAGAAAGAAATTTTTGTTCAGTAGAGAATTAGAGTCCCCGATAAGGAATCGATTTCTTCATTCCCCTTAGTACTTCTTGTCCTCCATTTTTTTT